GGTTTAAAGAAAGTATTTTAGTTTTATTATAATTGAGTTTGTTGCAAGGATTTAACAGCTTGAAGAAATAGAAAATTACACCTTATGCCAACCGTCACAAGGATATGCATGACAAGGAAGGACTATATATACTGCATGCATTATTGAGGTAGTTAACACTGTATTACTTCTTGTGCTCATTGAGTTATTTACTGTCACAGGTAGCAGCTTCGGCTGGAAAGGAAGTGTTGGGGCCGATATTTACCTCCCACACTGAAATTAGAACCGGCCAACCGGGCAAATGTCCGGTATCACAGATTACCAGTCCGAGCCTGCTCCCTGGTGAGGTTTTCCAGGCACGTCCCACTAGGAAGAGGCCCAGGGGGAGACCCAGGACACTCTGAAGGGACTATGTTTCTTGGCTGGCCTGGGATCGCCTTGGGATACCCCCAAAATTGCTGTCCAAGTGGCTGAGGAGAGGGACGCTACATACCCGATAAGCAGAAGAAGATAGATTGATGGATGCATGGATGGATGAAGTAAAAATGCATTTACTCGCATCATCGGATTAGGTCTATTTTAAGGTTTACTAACATCAGTGCAGAAGTTAACTAGGCTTAGGAGTTGGGCAATTTTGCAGCCTATAGGGAATTGTGGTTTACAGTAATTAGAAGGGAGCTGAATTCACTTGTCAAATGATGTGTATTACAAACAAGAGCCAAAATTATTTTTTTACAGAAATATTCAGAATATTTTACAGACATCTTTGACAATTTATATGCACAGTTCATATTTTAATCTATTTAATGTTGCATTGACAGTTAACATCTAACATGCATCTAATGTGTGTGGTTTTTTTTTAAAGAAACGTGCATCTGAGTCTTCTATGGACACCAGAAGGCTGGGTGTCCATGCAGGTTTGGTGTAGAAGGAGCAGAGGGAGGTGATGACTCCTGGTGGCGGAGCGCAGACACCGCCCCGTCCCTCCTCTGCACTAAAACGCACCATCCCGCTCCGGTTCTGGAGCAGGTTTGCGGCCCACACCTGACAGCTTGCACAGCATCTTAACCCGCTTCTAGACACACGCTATTTACGCGCGATTAACAGATTTCCACGTAAAGCCGCTCCACAAAACACGCAGGAGAACAGGAGGCGTTTTAGTGTCAGACCGCGGATGAGCCACGCTGAGCCTGCAGCTCCTCACCTGTCATCCGCAGCCCTCCGGCAGTCATTCTCTGCAGTGTGCAGGTTTCCAGCGTCCTCTAAGCCTCACACAGCAGCGGTGCTTACATGTTATTATTCTTCATAGGCTGCACTCTGCTCCGCTTCTTGTACACAGCTTGTGGTTGCCATGCGGACGCAGGCGTCATCCACCAATCAGCTGAGGGAATGACGCCCAGCGGTCACACCTATAGCGCCACAACGCGACAACTTTGAAAGGAGGAAGACAGAAGATCTGACTAACATATCAGTCTCTAACTCACCTGGAGACTGAATTACATGTCCATGATGGACTATTTGTTTGCTGTCTACCGCTGTCAACACACCCATGTGGGGCCCATGGATGTGGGCTGGTGCCCCATCTGGGTCCCAGATATTTTGATTTTGTTCCATGGTGGCCCTAAATGGGCCAGCCCAGATGGGCTGAGGGTGGNCATGGATGTGGGCTGGTGCCCAATCTGGGTCACAGATATTTTGATTTTGTTCCATGGTGGCCCTAAATGGGCCAGCCCAGATGGGCTGAGGGTGGATTTCATATGGGCCCCATCTAAAGCCTACATGTGCAATCCAAGTTTCTCCCACATGGGTCCCAACAACCAGGGGCGCAGCTAGATGAGGGCCAGGGGTGGCCATGGCCACCTTTAGCCAATCTGTGGCCACCCTTACCATTTTTTCTCTCAAGTAGAATAATCAAAACATTTTATTTTATATATATTAACAATTATTTGACAACAAAAACGCTGTTGTTAATTATGCACATCAATATACCTACATTAGAGATGATTAGTACAGAATTCATTTTCTTTCAGAACTAGATTTTGTGTTTTATGCCGTAAAGAGAAAATTATGTGTCTCTGCAAGTCATTAAAGAGTCTCCAGTGAAATCATAGATACTGTAAATAATTATTTTAACAAAAGCCTATTTAATTATCAATTTATGTAGATATTAGTACTTGTCATTTTGTTTACACAAGTGCAAAACAAAAAAACATTTCTATTATTAATGAAGAATGATGTTGATAAAAGTAGGTAAGTAATCACGATGGAAAAGATGTTTGCTCCCGAACTCAAACCTCAAAGTATTTTATTCAATATAGCTTTTATCTAGACGGATATTTAAATATATCCATTTGTTAGCAAAGGCTGTAGGAGACTATAGTCTGACTTTGTTTAGGAATATGAACGTTGTGCTTGTTCCTGTTGAAACAGTGTAGATTGACCCTGAGGTTCTGGTGCCTATCCACTTTTGGCCACCCCTCAGTATACATTGGTTATTGATTGGCCACCCTTATAGAAATTTTCTGGCTACGCCTCTGCCAACAACAGAGTCCATATGGGCCCCACCTGGACATGGTTGCTGGGTTGGAATGGGGGCCGTTTGGCTTCTTTTGTTAGCCTGCAATGCCCCATACCCATCTAAGTCTCTGAAAGGGGGGTCATTAAAGAGAATTGTTGGCCCGTCTGAATTGGCGAGGTTCTCGATTGCTGGCTAACAAAAGAAGCCAAATGACCCCCATTCCAAAGGGGTGGACTCCTTCGTCCGTTTCAATTTGCATGTTTTCAAAACAAAAACAAGGTTTTGATGAGCTACTGTATGAAACCTTGAACTCAACGCAATTCCTGACATTTTGAATTGAAAAAGCTTCCTGGATGGGAAACGAAACGTCTTCAAACTTGGAAACAAAGTCCAGTGGATTGTTTTTAATTTTCTTTTCTTTTGAAACTCTATGACCAGGATGACTGAGAATCTTCACCAGCAAGAGTTGAGTTATTTTGTCAAATGTATTTATTTATTTGTTAATTTAATTAATTTATTCAAGGCTGAATTATCCTTCATGTACCGGTAATTTTTGTGTTTTTTTTCTCCAATGTCAGCAGTATTTTTGTAAGGATACTGAGCAATTATTTCCAATTATTGTTTTCTCTTAGTGGAGCAATCCAAGTTTTTACATGTTTACTTTGTAGTCATTTCCTTTAAATTTTCCATATTGAAAGGCTGATAAACTACAATCCCTTCTATGTTCTGTATTTTTATGGTAAAATCCTGGCAACCACAGTTGCTGACAATATATTGTTGATTTTCTTCACAATAAAAGTTTGTACTGTATTATTCATTTCTTATAAGCATTTTACTGAAAAATACATCTGTAGTTCTTATATTGTTATTCCATAAACAGTTTGCTCTCCTTTGGTTTCTAAAACATCCTTACAAGCATTTGAAATCATTAAAGTAGTGGAGCAGAATGAAAAATATAAATAGTAATGATGTCTTCATGTAACCATAAAAATCTCTCATTCAAAGAACCTGTCCTTTTAAAGGAGGGACAGTAAACTTTACATTTTTTTAGACTTTTTTTTAACCCTTAGGGTTACACTAGGGAAATTCTGGTTCCAGTAGCTTATATAGAGCACAATGAGTTAAAGCAAAAAATGCCATTAAATGAATGCTCATGTTTTCTGAAATGTGTTTGAAGAGTAAAAAAAAAACATCATCCAGACTGAGGCCATGCTGAAGTTTATTAACTGCAAAAACAAAAACCAATCCAAAAAAATGGACCTACTGCGCAAAATTGAACAACAGCACAAACAAAGGCATCGTAGCAGACAGAAAGCTCACATGAACACACTGTACACTATCATTACACGTTGATCCCTTTTTCCTCAGCCAAAAGCCTCCTGTGGACAGTTCTATTCCTCTGTCACATTTTATCACGTTTCTCAAAATGTACATGTTTTTTTCTGGTAATAAATACCCCCCATTCCCCCCCTTATTCAAAGTCACACTCTTAGGAAAATAATAGCACCATGTTTACGGATTTATTCAGTAAAAAAACAAACAAAAAAAAACCTCACACATGGTGTTTTTCTAACATTCAGAGGCAAAATTAACACGTTTTGTGAGCCTTTACCCGTATTCAGCAGCTTGGATCCACATGAAATGCTCTTTCTTGCATCAAGCTTACTCTAATTTTTTTTAAAATAGCAATGAACATAATTGTCCTCATCACGCTGCTGTCCTTTTTAATACATGTTGCATTTAAAGACATCAGACAAATAGGCTGTTGGTACACACACTCACTACCTAATAACTTATTCGTGGTCAAACCTATTTGTGAGCAAAAAATCTATCGAAGCAGACAAATGGAAACTTATTTCCTACTGGACATTTTCCTTAGAATTTGGCACTACTTAGAGGCATGGCTGACCTATTTCATGACAGCATAATGATATATTAACTACATTTTGGTGCTTTGTGGAGTTATGAAAGTTTTCTTAAGTTTTGACTGATTTATTAAAGAGTGTAAATCTTGTGTTTAAAGCTGTTAAAATCCCAGCAGACTGACTTAAACTAGGGTATAAGTAACAATTAGTCAGTTTTTAAATCAGCGGGTGAAAGTGTTACGTTAATAATTTTATATCGTAAGCTCCCTACATGGTGCAGTTTGCAGCATTTAATAAATGCAATAATACTGAGTTGTTTTGTTTTGTTCCAAACCTGCTGTAAAAGTTTTTAATCCAGAAATCTCCACTGCAGCCTTTAAGGTGAGTTTTGCATCTACTTCTATCGCTGTAGATGCAAACACCCCCACTGCCTGTATATCATACATCCATTGACCATCCTAGCATTAACTGACTTAAGGTGTCGTGTCCTAATGGTTGAGAACCAGTAAACTACAGCCACGTTTTCCAATCCATAAGGTCGCCTCCTCAGTGTTCTGTAAAAGCTGAAACCGCTTGGCTTTGTAGAGCTGAGCACACGTGAACTGTGTGGCTAACACTAGCTGTATGCTGTTTTTTTTATCATTTTTTTGGCCCTTTTTGAAATTTTTAACGACCATTTCATACAAACTGTTAAATCCGAAGACATTAAAGTAAAAGGTATCCTTTAAAACACGTAAAAAGTTGCTGTTTGATCGTTCCTTCAATGCACTCACACAGACACGGGAAACCCTATGCATAAGGCTCTACATAATACACACAGAAATCCATCTGTACATGAAAACATTCAGAGCTTCCAAATATCCTCGCATTCATTCTGTCTCTTTTTTGACTTTTGGCACATAAAGAATAAAACTTGCACATACCTTGACAGATCGACCCAAAGGTGGTCAAACATTTGTTTAATAGTATCATACATTCCAGATCAAAGTCTGATGCATCCCGACACATTGAGTTCATAGTTTGCAGGATAGACAGGGATGCAGTGAGAGGAGAAACTTAACATAAAAAAAGACAGAGATGCATTCGTCAAACTGGCATTGCAGGTGTTGGAATCTTTATGGATATGTACAGCGAAGTGTAAACTGAGATGGGTACTGTTTGAGGGTATAGGGTTCTATTAGGATTGTGCAGGCACTACTTTCTTAGGGGTGGCTGGCTTCTTGGCTTGCCAGAGGTGGTTGTGGATGGTCACAGCATCCACGCTGGCCGACATGGTTTTGGCCGGTATCTGACTGAACTGCTTCTTGTCCGAGTTGTATTTGTAGAGTCCGTCGATCATTTTGCGTGTAATGCTCTTTGGACCAATGCCTGTGAGCTTGGCGATCTCCTCTGACTCGGGACAGTAGGTGTAGAGGGAGCGAAACTGGCAGCCAGAATCCCGGAACAAAACAAGGAAGTTATTGGCTTCTGATTTTTCCATTTCCTGTTGAAATAAATAAAAAAAGCTTAATGTCAGAATAATAAATGCCAAAGTAATCTTGACCGGCCTCCCTTTTAATTGTGTGTTTTCTCAAGGCAATACATCCAGAGACTGATGTCTAAATGTAGAGAGGCTGACTATACTAATCATGCAATCTGCACCTAACTCTAATGTAAGGTGATAAAAATAATAAGTTAAATAAATAAACATTTTTGAATGTTTTTTTTAAATGCAAATTATGAGAAATTAATGGATGACGCAAAGACATAAAACTTCCGACTTGAAGCTCATTCGTTTCACTTAACGAATACATGGAAGGCCATTATTGAGCTATTGCCATGGTCACTTACAAAAGAAATAAACATGTATTATTAATATGTTTTTTAAATTTTTTTTTTTTTTTGCAGATAAGGGGACTATTTAATATCTCTCCTTGACAATCATTACCAGGGTAATTGGCTCTGGCCACAAAAGCTGCTGCTCGGTCAGCTGTAGCTTCAGATCATATCAAGTATTGCTTTAAAACAAGCCAACACAATAATTTAGAACAGTTTTTTTTTAACTTTTTTTAGGTGTCCTATAATATTTATAATGGACATCCTGCGGTCAATCAGCATCAACTATTCACCCAAACCATGCTATCAATATAAATGACTTTATTCACTAAGAAAATCACAGATTCTGCAAAAATAATGATTACAAACCTTTAATTATGTCATTGAGGATTGTCCGCTACAGATAACGAACAATATTTAGAGTGTTAAATCAGACTAAAAAAATATGATTTTTCATACAAAAGGCTTAATGAAAAGGATTACTTCAGAGACCATGTTACCAAATTATTAAGCTGGATGGATTTAGAGACAAAACAAAGAAAACTATACATATATAGTGCAAAAAATAGAAAAAAAAGAAAATTCAGCATTTTTTTGCACATAGCACTGTCCCATAACCCGCAGGAAGTAACTTAAATTTCAGATTTTTAGAATAAAAATGCAAGAAAACTCTGCATCATTTTTATTTAGCACTCAAATTTGATTGTTAAAAAGTATAAATTTTCATTTCATGCAAGAAATTGAATATTTTTTTTTTCTTATTCATATATTGTTTAAATGTGTTCATATGTTTAAAAATATTCATTTTAAAATAGCTAAAATTGGTTAGCAGTTAAACTAAGTTTAGCCAATAAACTGCTAATCAGAGCTAATTCAAATAAAAAGAAAAGAGGAGATTTTCACAGTAGCAGGCATCATGCCATGCTGTTACCTCCAGGATCTTGTTCTTTTGCCCCTCATTGACCTTGCCTGCGAGGCAGCAGTGGGACAGAGCATTCTGGATGATGTGCTTGTTAGATTTGGCACTGGGCTCTTTGTAAAGCCTTGGTCCTGAGGGGGAAAAATAACCAGAATGAGACTATTTTAGTTACATCATAAAGCAAACCTTCATTTCCATTTTTACTTTTTTAATCAATAATGTCTGAATATTTGTGTCATGTAACCAAGTTGGAGAGGAGAATGATAGAAATGAATATATATATAGTTGTGCTCTAAAATTTACACACCCTTCCATTAAAGACTGCTGCCAGTAAGATAAATTAAATTTGGCCAAAGTAATAAAGACATTGATTTTGAATATAAATATTCAGATAAGTATGTATTTATTAATAAATAAAGTAAGTAAAGAAGCCTGATGGAGCTCCTGAATTAAAATGCTGTTGAGCAGCACTTTAAGGCATTCACTGAAATCAGGTGTTTTCTGTGATGTTAAGGAAATGTTCAGTCAGACTCTCCACCTGTTGACAGCTTTGTTGGTTCACTGTTCATCAGAAAGGTACTTTAATCTATCAGGGATTGTTTATTTTTTTCCTTTTAAATAAAAATTCAAATTCAATATTTTATTTTACCAAATTTTTCGTTTAGTTATTTTTACCTTTTTACAGTTTTGTGTGAATTTATCATTTTCTTTAATGGGAGGGCATGTAGACTTTCAAGCTGTAGATCATAAAAGTCAGAACTTCCCCCAATGAGCTGTGTTTTTGTTAGGATTGCTATAACCATCCTTCATATAATATATAAATACTAGATTTGTTTAAGATAAACATTGTAGGTCCCCTACCAGTATACTCTGTGTTTGATGTAATGGAAGAGGTGGTTGAGGCGTTTTCCCAGTCCTTTTCTCCATTTCTACTGGAATGACTCGGTGAAAGAAAGCCATCTGCAGAGTCTGGCCTAAAAAATACACACATACAGAGATGTAGACACACTGACTGTTAGCTCACCTGTCCTGCATGTGAGCTAAACCCCAATGATCAGCAGAGTGCAGTGCAAGAGAGGCAGGCTGATATTCAGTCTGGTCATCAAAAGCAAAGCCTGGGTTTGATGTAGCAGAGGGCATCAAAACAGCATAGCTTGCAAACGCAGGAGGGGGAATGGGGTGGGTGTGGAGGGGGGCATGATGTGTACCAAGTCAATCAAATACAGTGCAGAGGTTGGCTTTTCATGCTCTAATTTTCCAATAAGAGCAACTAAAGCCAAATCCTGATCAAACATTTAGAGGAGTGCTTTGTGAATGCACATTAACAAGTCATTAAAGTCTCCCATCTTAATGATCCATGTGTTTATCATATAACACAGTCATGACTTGATAATGATATTTTATGCAGCGTGGGATCTGCAAAACCAATCTGTGACATGAAAGTTTCCCTTCATGTTTATTCAGCTGTGAAACTAACAGGAGTGAATATCAGAGGAGCATAGTGGGGGTTTGCTTTCAAAGCTTAGGCTGCATCTCACTATTAAGCACTTTACAGCCCCTTTGCACATTTCTTCACAAACATGAAGCCATGAGTTAAATTCTGCTGAAAAATGATTAAACGCCTCGTCACCTATGGAAATGGATAAAGGCTGTGAAATGCTTTATAACAAGAGAAAGATCTGTGAGCATCTTTATGCTCCAACCTACAAGCGCAGGAAGGCTGGAAGCAGACCAGTGCTCTGAAATTGATATTGAGCAGCTATGCAAATGTATAAAAAAAAATAGAATAATTGTTGCCTTAGTTTCAAGTCCCAAGAAGCAACTAACCTTCTCCTTCTCTTTTTGGGAGAGCTCAGAAAATAGAAGAGGCGGCTAGAGGCTAAACTAGAACTTCTGATGTGTGAAACAGCAGGTATGAAAGTTGCAGAAGGGGAAAAAAATGTTAGAGAATGTTAGAGAAGAGAAACATATTTAACTGAGATTTTTATATATATATATATATATATATATATATATATATATATATA